TTTGGTATATCGTCCTTCACCGTTCAACTTTTTTCTCTTTTCGACTCAACAAACTCAAACAAATTATTTAAGTTTATGTGTTTTGTGTGGCAGTTTGGTGAAATGGAGAGCGAACGACCGTAACAGTGAACAAAAAACAAGTTGAACGAGAGAAAAAAAGAAAAAAAAAATCATTATCGAAGATATTTTCATGTAGCCATTACTCTGCAACATCAACGCGCTACTTCCGATCCATAAAAATGTAAAACGAGTACGCTATAAAATATAAACGAATGATTTGCGTTCTATCGCCACACGCAGACACACACATCACATCTCTTGAAAACCGCAAAACGCAACCAAATGGAGATGACTTGTCAGTTTATTTTTACGCATTTCTATGCCATTTCAGTTCTTTCTACCCCAGACATAATTGAATTACAAATAATGAACAAAAAAAAACTGCCACCCCGTCGTGATTTCTTTTTCGCTTGAAACGAACAACTTCCAATGTAAATTTAGTGATAACAGAAGATGAAGAAGAATGAAAAACTAAATAAATGTTATTGTTTTGTTTTTATTGAATTTAAACACTCGTTTAAAATGACTGAATTTATGCGTTGCTGGCAGGATACGAAATATAGTCCAATGTGACGCATAAAATAAATGTTTTGATTTAGAATTTGGTCGTATTTTGTGAGTGAATCGCAATAATTTCAATATGTCCAACTGTTTTCATCAATATTTTCCACGATTTGGGGAACTTTTGTCGTTTTTATCAATAAAAATCTCCACACAAACAACAATTATTTTGTAATTCTAAACAAGTGTGCATGTTTTCAAAACATTATTTTGAGAGAATCGATTTTCATTTTAAATCAAACCACCACTGTTCTCATTACAAACATTTCAGTTAATTAAAATGTTTCCGGCATTTTTGTTCTCGTCAGTCTTTATATTTTAAAGTCCATTCAAAAAACTAGACGAAATCTATGCGAAAAGGAAAATCGACAAAACTCACCAAGTTTTAAAACCAAAATAACGGCCATAAAAGTAAATTCCAAAAGTTTTTTTTTTGAAGCATTCCTTTTGTGAGAAAGTGTCTTATTCACACAACAAGCTCATTACAGATGAAAATAACTCGCAAGTACTGTTACTCAACGGCTGTTACAACACATACACATAAATGCAATCCGATTGAGTTGTTGGCGGTGGTGGTCGCCATGCTTCATTAGTTCATTAGTTAGTATTTTAATTTAAATATTTATTGCAGAAAACCACGCGAAGTAGCAATAAAATTTATAACGGATTTTAAAATAATTGAGTACATCCTTGGCGAATGAATCGCGGCATTGTTTTCATCTCTTCGTATTCTTCGTGCATTGTGAGTGATTGAAAACAGACGCTAATCATGGCATAAAATAAAGGTACTCTCATTTGCAACTCTAAAAGATGGTTTTGAAAGCAATGCGTGTGAATTCGTTCCGCATTCTCAAAAGGGTGTCACCAGATCAAAAATAGAGATTTTCTTACAAAAGAGGGAAAATGCGTTGCTCATTATCAAAAATATTACAGTTGAAAGTTTTTGAGTGAAAAAAATGCGTTTTTAATGGTATTCCAAGTTGAATAAAAATTCAAGTTTTCTTGCGAGCAAAAAATACATCTCTTGAAAAAAGGTGACACATTGGATTGTCAAATGGCAGTAGAAATCCTCTGATCAATGACACTTGCCACTCAAACATACATTTAAATGACAAGGGCTTATCGGAAAATTGTCATGACATGATTCGATTTCGAAGACCTTCAAAAAATAAACCGCTCCAAATACGATTGCAGTAATGTGATTAGTGTTTGATGTGTGCAAAGTTTTTGATAAATTATGTCGTCTTGTTGTGCGTTTCGTCTTTTTTTTTGTCGCTTCTCCTCAACACCGTTTCCGCATTCATGTTTCGGTTAATAGAGCATTTAAGTGCTAAGTACTAATATTTAACTTGTACAAGGTTAAAGAAAATATCATTGTAAGCGCTCACATAGCTTCAAAAAATAGGCGCACCACCGAAACTTGTGATTCATTTCTCAAACATGACCCCGTAAAACAAACAAGTGTATACAAAAAGCGTGCAAACCATTCGAGTGAAAGAATAAGAGAGTGTATCGTTGAATGTGAGAGGCCACTTGAGCATGTGTAACACACCAAATAAACGACTATTAAGTTCATATATTATCTTTTCCGTAGCCCCCTATTGTGATAAAGACAAATGATCTGCAATAAAGTGGATGTTTTCAACAAAGAAATTCATTTCTTTGCCACGTTACATTTCTTCTCTCTTTTTTTCAACGCATGCATGTTATACAACATTGTGGCTGTGCGCATTTCATCATTACTGACTAGACCCCCGCTAAATGTTTGACATTCGCCTTGGGATTGCACTTGAAAACATTTTTTTTTCGTTTCAGATGTATTCGCCACCGGAACAATTCAACATCTCATTCAATGAATTAAGAGAGTATTTACGATATAAATGCCGTTTATTTTAACTATTTCATTATCTTTTACCACAAAAGAACACGATATGCCAAACACTTTATATTCCTGTAATTTTGCGTAACATTTTTACAGTCTTTTCTCTTATCACACTCACGCTTCTGTATTTATTTGATGTATGAAATTTTTCTCAGCGAGATTTTCACATCACTTTTTCTTGCCGTTTTGTGCCATTGTCATCAAATGTAATCATTATTATGAACACATCTCACTTTGTTGTTACACATGTTTCAATGGTTGAGGTTGATGTGTGCTACATACGTCGCACATACATTCAATGAATTTGAATGAATCACTTTACGATTGCAAGAACATTACATAAAAATTTATGGTATCATTTTTGGCGCACTCTATCGTACAATTTACTCCCGATTCGCGTACAATATTTCTTCGGTTTGTTTCGCTTTATTTCGTTCGATGTTCATGCCACCCAATTTAATCGTGTCAAAGTATATTTGAATCCGCTGCCTACGCATTCGAATAAACCATTCGATGAGTACGCTTTAGTCATGATCAACTTTCGGTGGCTTATAAACTACATTTTAAATCTATTGGGCGCTTGTAAATGTCGTTATTACATTATTGATGTGGCGTTTTGCTAATGCAATAAATATTACTTCAATGGGGTTAAATGATGATGTTAGTTTAACAAATATGGGAACTATTGGAATCAACAGGCTGCCTTTTTGAACGAATCCTATCGGCACACATACATTCGCATCATACATTATTGGTTTTGTTTTATTATTATTTTATTATGAATCGATTTCCGTTATGTGAGTGATACACATGCGAAAATCGCATTTCATTTACTCGAGCTTAAAAATGAAATCACTCTTGATTTGTTCACTACGATGGGAAAAAATCGTCACATTGAGGAAATATGGAAAGATTATCAGGTTATATCCACCGTTATTTCACTCATTATCAAAGCGGATGCACAAATGACGGTGGATAGTTGAGAGATAATTTTCAAAGAAAAAAAAATCCAAAAGATCATTATCGAGAAAAACAAGATCATTCGAACATTTGATCGCATTAAAACAAACTACTGCATGATTTGATGCGCCTTTTGTCTTTTACGTGTGAACAAGGCAATTCAGGTGCTAAAGTTGCACCACAAAGCGCATTCAAGAAGAAGAAAAAAACAAACGGATCAAGTAATAATAAACAAATATCAACAGCAGTGAAGAGAATGAATGTGGAGAAACCGAAAAGAATGAATACAAAACAAAAATGACAGAATAAATGAAAAATGTGATCAAATTTATTTTTTGTTTTGTGCATCGCAAGGCAATGGAAATGTATCGAACAACGAAGAAGAAAACAAATGCACCGGACTCTCAATCATATAATATGCACAGTTGTTGTTGATGTAATGTGATTAATTTTATTAACTTCCATTTTGTGGATTTTGGATTTGTCGATGTTTGAACCTGTTGTGTACGCAATGCGCGCACCAATTTCAGCGATGAAACACAATCAACATGCACAAAGGCAAAAATTATTACCACTTCAGCATCTGAACACATTCACAACGAGAAAAGTGATAAAAAAGGAAACGCACACTCGGTCTGATTTCTTTGTAAAAATGTACATTGTATAGAAGTCAAACTAGAGATGTTCCACGTGAAAAAGAAGAAGAAAAAAAACGGATACCGAGCAGTCAGGGGAAAAGAGATAGAAAAAAGGTTGCTTTTGACAAATGAATGAAAATAACAGGGTAGCCGCACACAATTCGTCATTTTACTCAATTCTTCACTTTTTTCTCTTCGAGTTTTTTTTTTTGCGTTTGTCTTCTACACTCGTCCCGGTCAATTCACCTTTGATGAGCGCTATTTTGATGGGTTTTGAAGGAAAACTTCTGCTGAATATAAATGAAGTTCAATCAATTTATTTTACTTTTTGTATTCGTCTTCATAATTTTATTTTTTTGTAAATTGTTACAAATGATAGCAAATAACAGTTTAGTTTGTTCGTTGTTTCATATGCATTGCCATAGCGTCGGCATCTGTTTTTCACTCAACATTATCGAATATAGTAGAATGTCAGACTATAAGGTCGACGTAATCGCTGAGAAAAAAAATCGAGCAGGAATTATCAAACGATTGTTCGGCTTTTTTGCGCCGATAAAATATGGGATTTTCTACGTCTGACGAATGAAAAATTTGATTCTTTTTTTTCTTTCGAATTAAAAGAAATCCGATGTGTAAAAATGTAATTGATCATTTCTAGACATTTGAATAATTTTCGGCGCCATCCAAACCATTCCGAAGGATAGTATTTATTAACTCTTTTGATCTAATGCGATTTAATATTTTGGAATGAAACTTCTTCGTAAAGATGAATAATTTTAATTATTTTTGGTATTCGGATTATCTTCAATATTTTTCTCTTACAATTTACCACAAATTTTTCTTTTTATTCGCCACAAATCCTGTAAAATATATGTCAATTGAGTAAATTGTTGACTTACCTTGTTGACTGCCCTTTCTAGCTGTTTTCTTTTCCTTCATCCACGGATATTCCGGCACATTATCGCATTGATCGCCTTGCATCGCATTGTAACCTTGATTGCCAATCATTTTCGGACTATCCGGATCAAGATGTGTCATAAATTCGGCCATCGATGGTTGCGAATTAATGAATCCGCTTTCAGTCGGCGACACATTTGTCGGTCCATTTCCGTTGTTGCCATTGTTTCCATTGTTTGGCATTGCATTCATCCAATAAGCCGTTGCATCTAAACGCTTATCACAGTTATTCACTAATTTGGTTTGCATGGCTTGCTGTTGTAATGCGTTTATTTGTGACTCGGATTTTATTTGCGATCCCAATTGGCTTGTGTCTAACGAACTGCACACTTCTTGCATTTTTGCACTTAATTACTATCGATTATTGCTCGGAATTACAACTGCACACAAAACACATAGACACAAAATTTCATCAAAAGTACCTAAAGACGGTTCGACTTTTTAATAACATCAAGACAACCATTTCATGCTTTGAACGCCAATTAAAAGACGAACATTAGATTAGATTGTGGGAAATCTAAAAAAAAAAAGATTTGTTCAAGTCAATAATATTCTTTTCACTTATCAAATGTCACAAATACACTTCTTGGATCCTCTTGAAAATTCAATCAAAATGTTTACTTGTTTTGATATTTTGAGAAATCTACATGAATATCACTTTTTATCATTTGAGTTTTTAATGATGATTTTTTTTGTCAATCAATTTATTTTACTCTCGTTGATAATTCAATTTAATTTTTTCATTACAATTTATTTTTGAGTTTCAATGTTGGTGTCTCATTCAAATTTATTTGCACGATTTATTTTCAATTTTGAAAATTCGATCAAAATAAAAAAAATCGTTGTCTATGTATGACAAGTTGATATTAAAATGCAACAATATAATCCGATGAGTAGCTACAAACTGAGCGGTGCTGTGCACTCACTGTCAGTCGTTTGCACAATATCACAAACACCAAAAAGCAGAACAAGTAAACGCGTCAACAATGTGAACCGTCACAAACTGAATGAAACCTCATGCGAACATCAATACCATTTGCACACGCCACCGACTAAACAAACTTTCGAAATAATACATAAATACGTGGATGTGTGTGTACACTCTTGTTGGTTCGTCGAGAAAAGTTTTAGAGTGGATAAATATTCGGTTGGTTGCTGTTGACGGCAATTGTTACGTTCCCATTTGCATGTTTCACTTCAATACATGTGCGCGTGATAGCAGCAGCAGCAGCAGCAGCAGCACGGGCAGCAATAAGAGCAACAACAACCGTAGAATAAACTTACAAATACACAGTAACAAGGCGGCAATGTGTTTCCACTGTGATATATTTTAACACACAATGGTTTGAATAAATAGCGCGCGCACTCACACCAAACTCTACACAACCATTGAATATAGAATGTATTCACGCAGGCACCGACCGATACGACAGACCAATGAAGTAAACCGCGTTGAATGATTTCAAACAGAGAAAAAAACTCAACAACATCCAACGTCAACCGAAGAAAATTTCAAATGTGAGAGAGCAAAAAAAATACAAACTAATAAGCAATACAAAACAATGTCGACGACGACGCTGTCGATTTTCAATGCTCAAATGAACGAGAGGAACTGTAGAGGAAAAAAAATTGTGTACGATGACATACAATCGAAATGACTATCGAAAGAGACATGAATAGCACACGATGTATTCCATCTCCGGAGCGCAGATCATCGAGAATACTTTGTGTGGTTATGAAAAAAACAGAATAACATCGACCAAGAATTATAATAAATGGAAAATGAGAGAATAGATGCTCGAGAATCGTGACTAAAAGGAACACAAATATCTCAGTAAAAACCATTTTCGATTCTTTATCCAATGGATTTAATTCAGCTGTCGTTGTTTTTTTCACTCTCATTCTCCTGTCTTCTTCCTCTCTCGCACTCTCTTTTTCGTGCAAACTTCTTTGAATTTTTCGGTTATTTGCTTGCACATTTTAGTTTGTTTATCAAATCTTTTAAGCATATATAGCTTTGCGCCGCATCGGCACAGCGCTTTTTTTCGTTCATCTCTCTATCTGTATTTTCTTCTCATCCATATGTGAACAATATTTTGACACAACAAATCGTTGGTTTCTTTGTTTTACATTTCTAGCTCCTTTTATTTTCTCTCCGGTTATTCTTTTTGGTTTGTTTTTTTTATGTGTTTCTGTTTCGGTTGGTTTGTTGTGTGTTTTGAGATATATTTTTTCCACTATTTTCTTTTTGTTTGCTGGTTTTATTCCTTAAAAAAAAAAAAAAAAAAAAGCTGTCGCTGGTTTTTGGTGTAGTACAAAAGAGATTGCATCACGTGACGATTGCGATGACCAATCGGCATCGTTTTTCACTTGAATGCATAACACTTGTGAGCGAATGTGAACCAAAAAGCACACATACCATATCGAGAGACAATTGTTGGTCTTCAACGTAGAGGCGTGTCACAAATGGTCTATCGAAACATGCTCGACCGCTACATACGTGCCGCATGTGTGTTAGATTCCGACACTGCGTACACTGTACTGTATTGCATTGAAGGACCGTGCGGCGCATCAAAGGGGCGGAGTCATGATGTTAACACAGCGGAGATCAGTGTGTCTATGAAAAGTCTCCACAAAATTCATGCACATTGTAAATGCGATTATATCGAACTGAACATTCTGACTTAACTTCAATACCAAACAGCTTTCATTGTCGCATTGATGTGCTTTGGTGTTTGTTGTTACATTTTTTTTCACTCCGATTCGATTTAGAATCACACACTGTCGCTTGTGGATAATATATTCGATGCACTTTACTCACTCGCAACATTCAGTTTTATCGAACTTTATAATGACGTTCGCATTTTTTTTCTTCATTTTGTTCTTCTTCTTTTTTGTTTTTGCAAATTAACTTACACTTTGCATAGAAAAAGTTTTACTTTGGAAACGATCGCCTGTTTAGTATTCATCCATGTTTTCGAAAATATATACAACGAACAAAACACACATACACATAATATTCAATTTATACATTGAACTAATTTGAAGAAAAGTAGCATTGAACTCGGACCAATTCATTGAGAATTTTCTTAATCTATTCAATTTAAATTGAATCGTTGCGGCGAAACAGTAGCTCTTATTTTTCTCCAAATAATACTGCAACATGAAGTTTTTTTCACACGGTTTATTTGTTGTAATACAACAAATAAATTATTCATAAAAAACTTTATGTTGCAGTATTATTTGGAGAAGAATAAGAGCTACTGTTTCGCCGCAACGATTCAATTGAAACATCCCTCTTATGTATTTCATTATTTTGTCTTGAAAGAGAAAAAAAGAATAAAAAACGTCCGCTTTTTCTGACAATCACATTTCAAATCTCTGCTCAATCTTCAGGCGGATTCCATTTCTGTCGTGCGTTAACCGAATACATGCGAAACTAACAAATCCAAAATCGGATATTGATATTGCTCAATCACTCCTATTCATAAAATTCATTTTTCTCCAGCGATATTCAGGTTTTTCTGTGAAAAATTTATTTTTTATTCGAAAACCTTTTCACACTGATGATAACATACAAAACATGACAAAGTACAGAACAAACCGGTCAAGCAGTTTTGCAAATGACTAAGCAATTTCTTTATGAAAAGAATCCATTGAAAGTAACCGTGACAAAAGTCATACATACTACAGATCATTTATTATTTGCGGCGTATAGTATCAGAAATATAGCGGAACTAAATCAGCTTGTTGTGCTGGTCACTTGAGCTACGTGCTATAAGTTGGATTCAACTAAGTGAACGTTTTCGTCGTGTAACGCATACAATATTCTCCCTCTGGTATAAAAACGTCACCCAAAGAGTGATCGGTTCTGAGAGTGAGAGAGAGTAAAAAACCAACGAATTTATAACAATTTTAGTTCAATAAACTGTCAATAAAGCAAATAATAATAACGCCTATAATAAAAAACCCCTTTTGGCTAAATCTCAACAGACTTGCTAAGCACGTACAATGCTGTTGTGTGGGGCGAAAAACGAGATTGAAATCGGTTGCCAAAGAAAAAAAAAGAAGTGAAAAGGGAAAAATATTGACTAATATGTTGTATACATCAGAATGTCAATATATGGTATGTGTGCTTGGGGAAAGAGTGATCTGAAGAAAAAAAACTGGTATGTTTCCTTCCGTTTGTTGTTGGAAAATGTACAAAGGTCACTTGACATTGTGTAATTCTTACAAGAATGTTGTCCACCCTTATTTTAAAAGACATCTAATGTCACACTCTTGTATCTCATTCCCATGCGATTTGTGGTCAACAGTTGTGCGACTTCTTGCATTCGCTCCACTCTTTGGCTAAAAATAGCTGCGTTTGCTTACCACAAGAGACCATATACAATGCATGAAATATAACTTTATACACACAAAAAAAAAAACACTTGTTCGCATAATGCACTCTTTATCCATGCGATGAACACCGCCGAACATACACGATGGATAACAAAGGCGAACAGATTTTTGTATATGCTGAGAAAATATCAAGTGTGGATGTGCAAGAACGGAGACTGACACTTTATGTTGTGGTCACTGCTCGAGTTCATAAATCAAGTGCTTGTGTATGTATGTATATATATTTTGAACGGGTACCGCTTGTTCATTGACAATGTCTTGTGTTTTGTTCAAGTTTCATTATGTGGTTGCTTTGGTTAACACCAAATGCTACAGAAATTGTCACTGAATCCAATTTTTATTAGAAAATTTTCCAACCACATCTCGTATTCTTGTAATTTTCTTTCGATTAAATTCTTACTTATGCTTGAAATGGTTTTTGGGTTGAAAGTGGGAAAGTTTCCTTCAATTTGCTTTGGTCTTTCATGCAAATTCGAGAAATGAATTTTTAGGTAGTCTGACAACCAACTTTCAAATGGCATATAAACTGAACGCTGGTATGTGTAACTTGACCACAATGGTTGTCACATTGTTTTATACAACACAAAGACTAAAGTATATGGAGAATTACTACTGAAGATGCAAAGTTATGCAGAGACTTTGGACAAACAGTCTTAAAACTATTACATAAACCACAAGCGCATATGTAACATCATTGACCGAAAGTGTGTGTGTGTGAAACGTCGAACGGAAGAAAAAGAAAGAAAGAAGAAGGAGGGAGAGAGAGAAAGCAAAAACAAGAGATGGAGAAAAAAAGTGCAAAGAAAACTAATTATGAACACATGTTTTATGCAAACACAATAATTCTTTGTGCGGTTAGATTTGGTCACTTGTTTACATTTTAAATGATTATCAAGCGCAAAAGTGGCCAGAGATTAATAGCGCACACCGAGCGGTATTTCAAATAAAAATACGACGTAGGCATATGTGTTGAATCGTATGCCTTTTTTGCCACTTTTTTGTCTTCTATGGATCCAAACGTGGCTAAGAAATGGCAAAGGCTATACAATTAAAAGCATTTGACTTTTTTTTACAATGAATGCGTGGTGCAGAAAGCATGAGGTGTTTTGTAAACATATTTTCGGGTTGGTATTTTTTAATTCGTCTCGATTCATTTAAAAACACTTATTGTCACACGTGCACCCATC